ATTCAAATTCAGCCTTCCCTTACCCGCGGGTAACAAGTTCGGCCCCGTGAAAGTTTTTCACGGGTAGGTTAATATCTCGGGAACCTCGCAGTCTAGAAGGCTGAAATTTTAGGCCTACGGGTAAGTCACGGGTAAGTTAATATCTCGGGAACCTCGGAGTTTAGGAGGCTGAAGTTTTAAGGCAGGACCCCCTATCCACCCTCAACCTTGCCCATTCAAATTCAGCCTTCCCTTACCCGCGGGTAACAAGTTCGGCCCCGTGAAAGTTTTTCACGGGTAAGTTAATATCTCGGGAACCTCGTAGTCTAGAAGGCTGAAATTTTAGGGCTACGGGTAAGTCACGGGTAAGTTAATATCTCGGGAACCTCGGAGTTTAGGAGGCTGAAGTTTTAAGGCAGCCCCTACTCAACCTTGCCCATTCAAATTCAGCCTTCCCTTACCCGCGGGTAACAAGTACGGCCTCGTGAAAGATATTCATGGGTAATTTAATATCTCCGGGACCTCGAGTCTAGGAGGCTGAAATTTAAGACTAATGACCCCCTGCCCACGCTCAACCTTGCCTATTCAAATTCAGCGTTCTCGCTCTCTCGGTTACCACCTAACGGCCCCGTGAGATTTTTGACGGATAAACTATTAACTCGGGAATCACGGGAAGATATTCATCCTTCAAGGTTTCGAATTCAACTTTCATACGCTGGTGCGTGGAATTTTTAACTGTTATTCAAAGTTTGAACTATTTTTGCACAGACTAAAGTACAAGGAAGTGAAAATCATTAACAAGCAATCGTTCGATGGGCTAAATTGCACAAAACGCATGATCGCACCGGCTAGTCTGGTGCGCGTTGCCATTTATTTATTCTGTACCTGATTTTTCTGTGCAATTTGGATTTTTGGAAATTGCATAATTCAAATAACGCATTTTTTACGCTCTGAATTCAGTGTTTCCTTTCTTATTAAAATTTTTGAGGAAGCAATCTTCAACCACATTTTGCTACAAAGCAGCGACTCTTTCACTCCAAGCCAATTAAGAAAATGAGGCTCAGAGTTCAACAACGATAAATTCTATTGTTTTTCTATTGGAATACGTCACATTTCCCAAATTTTACTGCTAGCTCTAAAATATACCGTTCTACATAACTGTAAGAAATTTATGCTTGTTAAACAAAGGAAATGTTATTTTTTTTTGCTTCCGTTTTCTCTTTTTAAAAACACTTTCCCTCCCCTCCCTTCCTCCCACTGAATAATCTGTAACTCTCTCTTTGATCTGTAACTCGATAGGCCACTACAAAAACCATCTGCATTCCTGGAATTCCTCAAATCGAC